GCAACCATTTAAACTATGAAGCGAGAATCCATCCATGAAAGGTATTATCAATCGAATTAAGTACGTACCTAGTATATTCACGTTTGCCTCACGTCAAGAATACTGGACATAATAGGTATATTAATTAATAAAAGATGAAATGGATATCCGGAATCCGGCCTTATTTTGCTATCCGGCTACCTGCCTACTACGCTTTAACATTTGAGATATTTTCCCGCAGTAAAAAGTATCCTATATGTTGACCCGGATAACTAGCTATCATCACACCAAATTTCATCGAAATCTGTCCAGTGGTTTTCTCGTGATGCGTGCCAAGACAGACAGACAAAAATTCTAAAATTAATGACTAATTACAATAAGATTTTCCAAACAATATTTAACGTACAAATTTGACTCAATTACAATTCTATCATATGTATAGATTATAGTGATTACGATATTAGTAAGTTAATTACGTTACTATAATAACTTAGCAATTATAAATGTTAATTTGATGATTCAAAAATGCTGAAAAAGTATTTGATCCTATACAACGACTTACTCTCGCGTCTTTAATTTTTTGCCATATATTTTATTCCTTAAATTCAAATCATTTAGGCATAGCAAGTAGATAAAGCAACTCAACAGACGATTTTTTACCGACTTCAACGAAAGTTATTGTTTCTTACAGTAAACACATTTTTATCGAAAAAAAAAATAGCCTATAGCACTCGGCGGTAACGTAGCATTGTGCAATTCCACACGACTGGTGAGAGATCAAGCGCAGTACCGACAGCTTTAGGTGCTCTCCGACACTACGGGGATGGAACAAAAGTTCCGTTCGGCTGTTACTAAGACTTTCTTGACTCTTGATGGCCCGACGCCGGATCCGAACTCTGGACCTCTGACCGCTGAACCTGTAGCCGTACAAGCTAGTCCACTAGACCACCGAGACATTAAATTGTAGAGCTACCCAGGTGCTAATTATCACAAAAGTTAAAATGAGTGTGTGCTTGTTACATTTTTACATTTTAACTGCTGAACGGTTTTAAAAACTTAAATCAATTAAGCTTTTAATTATATATTTTACTGGCACCTAAAAAGCTAATAAAATAATTGTTTGTTTTAAAACTAAATATAAAATACTAGGTTTAGCTATATTTACCAAAAATAAATTTTTAACTTATTTTAAACTAGCGCTTTTTATTTTAACTTCGCTAAAGTAATATAGTAATTAATTATTTCGCTAGAGTAATATAGTAATTAATTAAAGTAATAATTTTAATTTTAACTTCGCTAGAGTAATATAGACTATGTGTCAAATAGGTGTAACAGATCCTTATATTTCATCCAAATCCGTCAAGTAGTTTCAGCGTGAAGTAGGTAACAAATATAAATACAAAATTTCTAAATTATATTACTAGTCAGATATTGATAATGATCAGTTCAATGCCATCATTTTCTTAAAAACTTAAGTTAGATAGTTCTAAATCTAAAAAAAAGTTTCCTAAAAACTTAAAAAAAATTGACTTCAAACACTAAAAAGTAAAAAACAACTGATTGGTAGTTTAAATTTACTATAGATACCTAATTTTGAAGTCGGTGCGCTTTGTGTATCGGCAGATTGACGAAACTAAAATTCGCTTTTATTAGTAACACTTAAAATTCTGGCTCTAAAATCCAATTCTAATGTATTGGTCTTGTCAAATCAAACAAAATAAACCCAAACTCGAAAGTATCGACTTTTAGCCGTTGAAGAGTACCACCTATCCACCTTCTGGCCTTACCATCAGATCAGGTCAACGATACCGAACCACTGCACTATGAAAGGAATAGAAACACTAGCAAAGTTTCAAGTAAATATGACAATTAGAAGTAGGTAAAATTTATATTAGCCATTTTTCCATCCTTATGGGTGGTACTTTTTTCAAATTTAAATGGGACCAAATTGGAAGTATACACTTTCAAACAAAACAGAAATTGACCAAATTAGTTAATAAATGGCGAAATTCTGAGGTAATACACATATACAGCCGAATTGAGAACCTCCTCCTTTTTGAAGAAGTCGGTTGAACATTATAATAATACTAGCAACTCATCCTCGCTTCGCTCGGGTTCGTCCTTAGTTACGTTTTTACGGTTAGTATGGAATAGATAGATAATCTCCCGCGGTAAAAAGTAGCCTATGTCACTCTCCAGGTCTCCAACTATCTCCATACAAAAAATTACGCCAATCCGTCACGCTGCTTCGATGTGAAAGAAAGACACAAAAGTTCATAAAAGTATAATAATGTATGCCTAAAAGCTCGTACAAGTTTCTATTTCTGTGTTAAAATCACTTAAGCTTTTTACGAATAGCTTAAGATATACTATTTTTTTCTTCTCCCAGCAAAAGACGAGGTTTTTTAATTCAAAAGACAAATTTACAGTAAAATACAATTACCAATATTATTATTTGTCAAAAATTCTTTTTGCTTTAGATAGCCCGTTTATTGGGAAAGGTTATATATCATCTATACATATAATAAAATTCTAACTAAGCCGAATCTGTACATTAAATATTTTTTGGAAAATCTTATTGCAATAGACATTATTATCGATACAGAGGCCGAATCTATTGTTTTTAGAATTTTTGTCTGTCTGTCTGTCTGTCTGTTACCGCATCACAGAAAAACCACTGGAGGGATTTTGATGAAATTTGGTATGATGGTAACTGGTTATCCGGGTCAACATATAGGATACTTTTTATTGCGGAAAAATATCTCATTTCTGAGAAAAAATACAAAAACTGCAGTCTAAGAGTATACTTATATGTAAAACTTAAGAATTTGGCTTTTGGTCATCTGAACGTGGGCGGAGCCGCGGGCAATGCTAGTATAATATAATTTATCTATTCCGTACTAACCGTTAAAACGTACCTAGGGACGAACCCGAGCGAAGCGAAGGTGAGTCGTTAGTTATAGAATTTAAGAAAAAAAAATACAAAGTAACATTAAATAAAAATACCTACCTATATGATTACTTTCCAGGAATATTACCAATATTTTAAATAGTTTGTAATCTATACTAATAAAGAGGTAAAGTTTGTGACGTTGTAGGGGGTAATCTTTGGATCTACCTAACCGATTTAGATGAAATTTGGTAAGATAATATTTTGAGACCCTGGGAAGGATATAGGATACATTTAATCAGAAATCATCCCAAGGGGGTGAAAATGGGGACGAAATACTTTCTTAGATTTATTTAATAATGGGGACGAAAGTTTGTATGGGGTATCAAGATAGGGACGAACCGGAGCGAAGCGAGGGTGAGTCGGTAGTATTGTCTAAATAACTAGTGTCTTACCGTTGCTTCGCTTGGGTGCGTCCCTAGGTTCGTAGGGACCTTAATTTTAAATAGATAAAAAAAGTCATTGTGAATGTGAGCGTACCTTACGAGATAGACACATGCTATCGCGGATTTTTGTGTAGGCGTAAAGAAATAAATATTACATACGTATCTAATTAACTAACGTCTGATGTTAAATTAGCTTTATAACTAATACCTAAGTATATTAATGATGTATTCGTTTTTTCTTTTGCATCTAATCAGCTGTGAGATATAGTACTGAAATAGATACTTAGGTAGAAGGAATAAGTAGGTAATAATTATAATTGAAGCAGTAGTAGCGCAGTGGTATTGCGCTCGCTTAGGAAACAGAGTCGAGCGGGTTCAAATCTTGGGTCTCGCACCTCTGATATTTTCATGTGCGAATCATTTTTAACATGACCTATCCTTACGGTGAAGGATAACATCGTGAGGAAACCTGCATCTCTAAAAAAACCTAACAAAGTTTTCGAAAGAAATGTGAAGTCCGCCAACCCGCACTTGGCCAGCGTGGTGGACTATGGCCTGATCCCCCTCGTATTGAAGGGAGGCCCGTGCCCAGCAGTGGAACGTTAAAAAGTTTGAATATGATTATAATTACACTTATCCTTTAAATTCACATTTAAATATCGCCCATAAATTTGTTACGTATGGTATCAATATATCATATAAAAGATGTGTGCTTATTTTTACGCATTGCCCAACAGAATAAATTAGTATAACCAAAGGCATATTTCTGGTAGGAGATAATGCATTTTATTTTAGATTTAGATATTAAATCTTTATATATATAATTCTTCTGTGAGTGTGTATGTCACTGAACTTCTCTCAAACGACTGGACCGATTTTGATGAAATTTTTTGTGTGTGTTCAAGGGGATCTGGGAATGGTTTAGATTCACAATTTTGTCCGCTGGACAATGTTTTTTTAATTAATTTTTAATTTATTAGTAGTTGTTGATTTTGGAATGTTTTACATTGGATCCGACAGACGGCGGTACCATCGCAGTGTCAAATTTTAAATAATATTCGAATTTTAATTTTAGTCTGTCCCGACAGTTAGCGCTGTGGTCAAATTAAAAAAAAGTTTTGTTATCATTGTAGACAGGACAACGTCTGTCGGGTCCGCTAGTAACCTTATAATTCTCTGTTACATTTAATTGTTTTTTGAGTATTTTGTGTTTACCTTTAAATAGATTTACGATTACTAACCTATATTTCACTTGTATATGTATGTAAGCCATAAATGTATATAATTGTAAAACTGCTGGTAGACCTTAATAAAAAAATAATAATGACACATAACCCTCCTTTGGGCTCTGCCGCAGTCGGGTAAATATGTCCGATATGACACTTCTAAACCAAAGTTATTTATACAATAATTTACATAGGTATTATATGTATATTATAACATAAGGATAATTATTATTATTTGAAGAGATGGTTAATTTTTGAGAATTTGTGATGTTTAACACTGCTATTTTAGTAATAGAAGTTTTTTTTCTAATATTAATAGGCATCAAGAATTATTTACCTTAACTAAACTTAGATAACTTGGATAACTTAGTCATATTTAACTCAATAGAAATATAAAAATCATTGCAAAATATGATTTTATGGATCATTAATAATTATATATTAATGTTATTGTTTTAGTACGGACGAAGATGCGCGTCAAGCGATGATGTTAGATGGGGGAAAGATAAAAGAGATCCAAGTAAAATTGTTCCTGAGCTCTCGCTCAGAGATGCACAAAGTGATAGAAGCCGCACGACAAAGTGTACCGATCTTATCCCTCGCCCCGACCCCCGCACCCGCCCCGGTGGCCCCCCCACAGGTACCCACCCCTCCTCAACCAACACTCCCCGTTCCTCCTGCTATTACTCCTTTTTCAGCTGCTCTAGGTACCAATCCTCTATCTGGCTTCGGAATACCAGGAATAGGTAATCCTCAGGAGATTCCTCAGCCCGCTGTCATTGAACCCCCAGCCCCCCTCATCAGTCCTCCCTTGAAATCCCCTGTCGAAGAAGATAAAGAAGAAGAGAAAGTGTCAAGGAAGCGTAGTAAAGAAAAGGACAGACGACGTACTCGATCCCGATCGAGGTCAAGAGACAGAGATAGGAAAGATAGAAAAAGGGATCGTAGGGATAGATCGCGGTCAAGGGAGAGAAGGAGACGTGATAGGAGTCGCAGTAGAGATAGGCGCGATCGTAAAAGGGACAGAAAGGATCGCAGCCGCTCTCGCGAAAGATCTCCGCGTCGGTCGCGAGATAAGCGCGGTGATCGTAGATCTCCACACAACTCTCAAGAACGGTCTCTCGATAGTAATGAAAGCTCAGGTGCACTTCCCGCATCAGCATATGGTAACAATTCTAATGGGCCGCAAATGTCGATGGTGCAAAACAGTCCTCTGCAAAATGGGCCAATGAACTTTAACGATCCATCCTTAACAGATGCATTTAATAAGTTACAAGAACTGGGTAAAAAACGTAATCCAAACGCCTTCCAAGGCGACCAGCAGAATGGCAGTAGATTCCAAGGCGGGCGGGGAAGCAATAATTCATCGCGCGGAGGAGCCTCATTCCGTAGAGACGGAAGGCCGTCGAGGTTCGACGAACAGCAAAGAGATTGTTGTGTCGCGATTAGAAATGCTCCAAATCATACAAGCTATGGCGATGTGCGCCGGTTTTTCCCTTTCATGATCGATAAGCATGGCATCAAAATGATTAATGATAACATGGGACGACGTACAGGCAATATCTTCGTTCGATTCTGTGACCCCCGATCTAAACAGCTAGCGTTGCAACGGAAGAGTAATGAGTTGAAAGGTGCACAAGTCGTTGTTGAGTCGTTGGACGACGATGCCTATGAGTCTGCCGTAGACTCTTTCCTACCGTATCGCGAAGATAATGACGATGAAGATGCAAGTCTAATCATCGCAGACGGAGATGACAGTTTAACTAAAAAGTTTTGCGCGCTGAAACTTAGTGATTTACCTAATTTCGTTAAAGAACATGATATCATGAAAGCCTTCAGTGATTTTTCTCTTCTCTCTATTCTATTGAACGATTGCCGTGTGAGTCGAACTAAGATCGCCTTCGTCCAGTTTGTCAAACCTGACGAGGCGAAATCGGCTTTCGATCGGAGAGAGACGTATTTATTTGGTAGGCGTCAAGCCGTTATTACTCCAATGTCCGATGAGGAATTTGCAAAGGAGAAAATAAATCATGATAAAACCGAGCAACCGATTTTGAAAGGAAAGATTATTGAAAACGAACAGGTGCCAGAGCCGGTAATACCTCGTGACCCTCGACAACGACGTCAAATAGATAACGGACCGAGTTCGCAAGGCTCGCCGGCGATGCAGGCACCGGTGCAAACGCCCTTTTTCCCCAATACACAATTCCCGCAAAATTTCGGCACGGCATTTCAAAGTCCTCAATTTAATAACCCCACATTCCCAGGACAAGGCAATATGGAGCCCCGAGCGTCTCCCACCACCTGGGGTACTCGTATGAACTTCCCGAAACAGCCAGATCAGAGAATGCCAGCGATGCAAGTCCCTCAGGTGCAAGTGCCACCTGTTGCCAAAAAGCCAGCTATATCGGTTAACATGGAAGATGAGGCACTCGACTGTGTTCTAATGAAAGGCCTCCCTCGCGACGCTACCGACCGGACTATCGTTAACTTTTTAGCGGATACCGGCGCGGTTCCAGCGAGAATACATCTTATGTTAGATTCTAATGGTTTGCCCTCCGGAGATTGCTTCTGCGAGTTCCGATCGGGACAAGAAGCAAGGAAAGCAGCAACCAAACATGGACAAACATTAGAGGGTTGTCGTGTTACAGTAGATTTAGTTATGCGAAGTGTTGTGGAGGAAGCCTTGGAAGGTCCAAAAATGGATGGACAGCAGCCAACTCCTCAACAACAAGTATTACTTGGAAATGTTCCACCTCCCTTTATGAACACCACTCGCGGAGGGTTTATGGGCCGCGGTCAGTTCAGAGGGAGAGGGAGTTTCGATAGGGGTGGTTTTAACCGTGGCGGTTTTGATCAGCGAGGTGGTTTCAGAGGTCGCGGGTGGATGGACCGAGGTCGTGGGTTCGATCGAGGCAGAGGTCGCGGGTTCCCACGAGGCCGTGGCGGGTTCGATAACGGTCAGATGCACATGCGCTCTGAAGAGGAGCAGGACCCAGCTCTCGAGAATTTTGGTGCACCCGGCTGTGTAGTCACTATGGAGAATGTACCATTCAGAGCGACTGTGGACGATATCATGACGTTTTTCGGGGACTTTGAACTAACACAAGATGATATTATAAGGAGGTATAACGAGCGAGGGCAGCCGACCGGCGACGCACGGGTCGCCTTCAGGACGCCCTTTGACGCGCAACGCGCCATCAAAACTCGCCATATGAACTCCATATACGACAGACGGGTCAGTCTGAATATTCTCTAGCATCTAGCCCTATCCGAAGGCGAAATAGAAATCGCCTTGGGTGTAAAAACGAACACTGCTTTAGTTTACCCACCGCGGTATGAATGAAGCTCTTTTACGGCTACAAATGGTAGCAAACTAAGGCTCATGTAATATATAATTATAATAAATAGGTTATAATTAATAAAATACATTTTTGATAATTTAAATCATAGCATTTTATTTCAAATCCAGCACAACCTGAACAATACTGCCGCAGAGAAAGAGCTCGCTTGTGATGATCTCGAGTTCAGCAATGCTTATTGGCACCAACATAGGATTTAGTTAAATACAAGCATTGATATATAAAAACATAGATACACGTTTCCTATGAAATATCTCTTCAAAAATTAGCGTCGACATGTGACGATAAGCCAAGTCAAATAAAATTCAAAAATCGAAAGTTCTAGTCGTCTTAAATTCGACCTTACGCACACCACATAAAGTACTTTTTTCAACGAAACAACGAGCGTTTCAATTTTGTAAAAAAAATTGATTTGAAACAGCGCATAATTTCTAGCGCCTTTTTTTGAGGACACTTGAGACGCTAATCTTGAGTTTTTGTATATCAATGGACACAAGCCACTTATTCACTTAAATAACAACTGCTCAGTTCTAAGCTTAATGTACAATAAATACATTTATAAATATTGCAATTCTGTTATAGCACAAAATATGCAAAATTATATTTAACTTTAAAACTGTATCGGCCAATCCACCTAAAATATCTTAGTTAATGTTAAACTCAGAATGTCCATTTGCTTTAAGTAGGAGATTAACAAAATGGAACATTTTATAGTGATAAAACTTAAAATTAACACATATTTTAGAACATTTTCATAAATTTACTAAAATATAATAGGTGGATATTTGAATGCTATGAACGTCCCTGCGACGCCTCGCCGTAGAGAGCTCGTGATATTGAGCAATATCTAACACTCGGAGGTCTTATTCTAGCTTTGAACACGAAAACAACAATAATTAGGGCATAACCGCCTTTCACTACAATCGGTTTTAATGCTCATTTGATACATTACTATGTGAAACTGACAATTATATGAGATTTGAATTCAATTTTAAAATTATAACCTAATTACTAATTTTAAGCTTTTTTCTAATAGAATTGATTTGTAAAATTAAATTACAACAGATTAATAAGCAGATCGATAAAACCGACTGTAAACAATTCCATACAGACAACGAAGTACATCTTACTCTATACACAACAAGAAAAATATACACATCTCATATGTGATACCAGTTGTGACAAAATTAACCGCCGAATGCACAAGATGCCAAAAATTTGTTATCTCCAAACAAAGTACTTATCAAATAGTATAAAAAGTGACACTCGCGGCTAATTTCGTAGATTAGATTCTTACATATAACATCAATATATAAATTCATTGACTCGCAAAATTTTGTACAAATCAATATCAAGTGCATCGTTACATTTAAACGAATGACGATGTTGGAAAGCACGTGATGTGGGAAACTTGCTTGGGAAAGCTTTTTCTAAATATCGTATGGGTAACACAAACGTGTTTCCCATTTTTTCCATATTTAAAACATCCCTATTTATGGAGTCATATTTTTTATATTTTAAAGTTAAGTTTATTAGGGAGACAGATTATATTATACTAGCATTGCCCGCGGCTCCGCCCGCGTTCAGAAAAACCACATTCTTAGGTTTTTCATATTAGTATACTCTTACATTGCAGTTTTTGTATTTTTTCTCAGAAATGAGGCATTCTCCCGCGATAAAAAGTATCCTATATGTTGACCCGGATAACCAGCTATCATTATACCAAAATTCATAAAAATCCCTCCAGTGGTTTTTCTGTGATGCGGTAACAGACAGACAGACAAAAATTCTAAAAACTATAGATTCGGGCTCTGTATCGACACAAATGTTTATTTCAATAAGATTTTCCAAAAAAATATTTAATGTACAGATTCGGTTTGGTTACAATTTTATTATATGTATAGATATAAAAAAAAACATAACAACCTTTAATAAGCACGAGCAAGATTAAGCCATACATTTATATAATGCTTTCCATCGTCAAACAACTAACGGAATATCTTTCACTTAATACTGTTTGTTCACGAAATGACACTTAAATTCGATTAAATTAGAGGAATCTATTTGCACTCGAATTATATTGATTAAATAGTTTATTTCATTTGGTAGGCCACTTTGGACACATCTCAATACATACACTAGCGTTAAGATCGTTCTATAAAGACGTAACAAAAAAACAATAAATGTGCAGTGAAGTATATTTTCACTTAAAATAATATTGAGACAGCATTATTTTCCTATGATGATATAATTAATAAATAAACAAATATTTATGTGAGTAATTTCAAATAATATTTTTTATCTATACAACAATTTGTCAACAGACTTCAAAGAGGAGGAGGTTCTCAATTTGACTGTATTTTTTTTCTTCTCAAAATAGAGAGTAGCTAAAATGTATCTTAAGTAAATAATTATCAAAGAAAGAAATTAATTATTACACATATTATTTTAGTTTTGTGTAAATTTTTCAAGCGGTACTTAATATTTTAAATAAAACCAAGACACCTTGATACATCTTAAGCCTCAGTCTCTCTTGACCACGATTGCTGTAAAGCATTGGAAACGTCGCGAACAAAAATTCAAAATAAATATTATTTAGAATGTCAAATGTTCGCGTAAATCTAAGAAACTATTACAATACTTAATAAATTTAATAAAAATATGTAGACCATTATTGTCAAGGCAAATATATGTACTAAGAGTCTAGATTGTGACACACAATGGCAGTGCCAGTTTAAACATCCGTAACATTCTAAGTAAAAATATATTTCACTGAATTATTAACCCATTACGTAGGACGTTCAATGAAAATATCTATATCTGTAGGAGAAATATAGATAAGTACCAATAAATATAGTATACTTCCTAATACATATAATAACATTCCGCCATCTATATTACTACTGTTACTGAAGCATTTTCAAACTCGTCAGTCAACTGATCCAGCAAATTGTTGATGGTAAGCAGAAAGTTGCATCTATACAGATAAATTAAAATTGAAGTGTCTGTTTGTAATGTCAAAATAACAAGCTTTTTACTAAATGCATATTGAATTATATATAGTATTTATAACAAACATACAACTTAAAACTTTTGTCTGTTTGTTTGTTCCGGCTAATCTCCGAAACGGCTGAACTGATTTTGACGAACCTGTCACTGGCAGATAGCTGATGTTATAAGGAATAACTTTGGCTACTTTTATTTTAGAAAAAGAATTAGGGTTCCGCTCAAAAACATTAAAACGTACCTAGGGACGCACCCGAGCGAAGCGAGTGTATGTCGCTAGTACTAAGTAAAACACAGTCTGACGATCAGTCGATCAACAAATCCGAATTTTGATATAGTAACTTAGCAAATTTAAAATTTATATTTTTTTCTACAAATTTATAGAAGGCGGTTGTTTTCATAGCATTTTATTATTACATATTATGTTACATAAATACAACAAACAACATGACATTCGAGACTTAGTTTCTATATATCGATACAAAGATAGGTATAGAGTGGCTCAAAATATAGTGTATAGGTATTTATTAAAAATAAATGGAATATCACTCGCACGAGTGTAAGTATATAATAAGATCTACAGTTTGTTTTAAAAGAAAATTGAAACCTGTATTTTAATATACCTTTTCTATTAAAAAATTACAACTTTTTAATACAAAAAAACATGAATGTTCTCTCTTTCTCAACCATTATATCTCAGAAACGGTGAGGTTTAGGAGAAAAATTGTAGAAACAATTTTTATAGATAATTGTATAATCTACAATTTTTGTCTAAACTATTTTTATCATAAAACTTACCTCTTGGCTGAAAACGCAAAAAACTCATATTTGCGAACTTTGACATTGAATAAGTTTTTTTGTAAGCGTGGGATCGATGGGGACTTTTTACATTTCATTTATAATAGTGTTTCGAACATTCGTTCCAATTTTCAGCTCTATGCGAATTTTTGTTAACTTACCCCTATTTTTTAGGCTAACTTGACCGGACTATTAATTAATTATTATTTAAAATACCATCGATTCATTTGTATACAATCCATTACTTGAACAAATTAAATCAGTAAATATTTAATAAAAAAAATAGATACAAAATGTTCACTGATTAAAAATATATTCGACCATTTATATAATATATAGTATAAATGCCTTTACCCTTATGTATAAATGGAATATATAATCTCAACAAATGCTTACTTTATATTTGCTATCTAACCTTCTATGTATGTAGTAAATAGTTGAAGCTTCAGGAAGTATTGTTTTGATAGATAACAACCATGTTTACATTTATATGAAAAAACTTACATAAACTTTACTAACTTTTATGACGTCATTATTTATAAAAAAGCAATTTTTTTAAATATGATTTAATATAAGACACAGATACAGTCGCCTAAAATTTAACTTTTTTCTTTAATTTCCATATAAATATAAGCACAGACATCGAAGAATATAAATATAAGAGTGTAAAATCCAACTACGTGGTCCCCCGCAGTGTACACCCACCTTTATTGCCTACTATAAGATCTGCCGCACATTGATCATTTTGTTTGGTTGACATATTGGAATTACAAAATAAATATATTTTAATTTATTTACTTATAGATTTTTAAAAATTATTAAAAAAATATTAATATTATGTAACATTTCATATAAAAAAAATTGGCGAAAAAAAAACAAAATGGCCGACTACAAGAGCTTCAATTAAATGTCAGTGGGCGACAGATATAAACATTATTTATAAATCCAGCTTACAGTATACCGATAAATGAATCGAGAAGTCACAATTACAAACGATCATAAGTTACACCTTTCCATTTTGCTTTCCCCATACACTTACACCATAAGAACACAACAAAATGCCTCCATCTATTTATTATATAGCGCATATAATCTACATTAGCATGTCCAAATTATTATTTTATGGCGTTTTATGGTACTTACATCGATTAAAAAAGTACGAGATACACAATCAGTGACAAAAAACGTCCTCACCGAATGAGCGCTCATTTGAACATTTGAGTGCGCTTTTAATTTAAAAACATTTTTGTGAAAACAACTTTAAGCATTGCATTTAAGGTTTAATTTACATTGTTGTATATTTATTTCAACTAGAATAATTACCTAAACACAATTGCTGACAGTTTTAAGAGAACTTTTGCATGGGATTGTGTATCTAAAACATTTTTGATCGATGGGTACTTAACAAAAAATCAAGTACAAAAATGGCCTAATACATAACTTTGTCAAAAAGTAAAAAAATTACATATATCAAATATGTGTTTTTCCAGATCAGGCCATTTTTGCACTGACATAGTTAAATATTCGAATTTTTGGCTTCACACTATGTTATTTACTCAACAAATAACTTATAATAATCTAGTTTGTTCTGCCCATGTTATTGTAGAATACACACATACACAAATATAAGACACATCAATACAAAATTTTCTTAGAACATGGCTAATTTTAAAATTCACTTAAAAACATCGATATCTAATATAATATATTTTTCCAGATAACTACAGTAGTCACAATACAAGTATGAAATATGTATAGATAATAAATAGCAGATATTTTGTAGCTAGCTTTTAGTTTTGCAACATTTTCTATTTAGCCCCTTATGTGTCTCTGAAAGAGAAATAAAATATAAATTATTAAAAAAAAATAAACATTTTTTTTAAATAAACTTCATTCACAAAGACACCTGCAAAGAAAACCTTTTTTTTAAATCTAAAACATATTGATATATTCAAGATACTCAATTAGCGTCTCAAAAGTGTCCTCAAAAAAAGTGCACTATTCAAAATTATGTGCTTTTTGAATGACAAAATCAAAACGGACGTTGTTTCGTTTAAAAAATCCGAACTTGTATTTAGACAATATTAGAACTTTCTATTTTTGAATGTTATTCTTGGTTTGACTCAATGACACATGTCGACACCTCTTTTGAGATTTTTGTTAGAATATGTGTTTTATATATCGATGATCTAAAAAAAATAGAAAAAATCTTTATTTTTAAAAGGTCACAGAGTGATCATGTCATCCCTATAGGAATAACCATAGGAATAACTAACTGTAATCTAATCTCACAATTATCAGCCTCATCATATATTAAATGAGCAATTTTTGTATATACATTATACATATATAAATTTATTCTATATCTCGAAAAGGGCTCTAACTATTTGAATGAAATTTTCCACTTAGATAAGGTTTTGCTTTTAAGTTTATCTACGTCTTTTTCGAAAAAATACATAAAAAATGCCAAGCGAAGCTCGGTCACCCAAATACTACATAGTTGAACTATAACATATGGGGCATTCCACACCAAATCGGACGGTTTAAAATTTTTTTTTTTTGATTTTATTAATATTTTAGAATTTTTTAGTAACCCTCAAAAGTGGCTTCCTAGTAAAATTTGAGATTTTTTGATCACTGGTTCAAAATCGCTCTTTAAAAAATCGAAAAAAAAAAATAGTTTTAAAAACACAAGTTTTACAAACATTTTAAACATTTTTTTATATATATTGTTTATCTAAAGGTAACAAAACCAAAAACAAAAATTTTGAAAAAAAAATTATAAATGAACTTCTAAGAAAGTTATGAGCAAAAAACAAAAAAGTGCGTTTTTTTTTGAAAATTCGATGTTTTTGTAGCAGTGATCAAAAAATCTCAAAATTTACCAGGAAGCCTATTTCGAGAGGTACTAAAAATACCAAAATATTAAGAAAATCATAAATAATAATTTTTGAAACCGTCCGATTTGACTTGACTGACCGAATCTTAACTGATTCGTGCCAAGAAAGGCCAGAATGCTGTTGAAAACTGCGGTGTCTAACAAATTAATATTATTATTACTATTCTTTATTGCACTTAAAAAAATCAATACATTAAATCAAAATAAGAAAATAGTTCAAAGAAAAACCTTGTAATTCAGCATTATAACAAGTTTGATTTTCAACTTTAAAATATAACATGATAAATTAATTTCTATTTTAAAAATATTAATCAACTAGCGACTTACACTTGCTTCGCTCGGGTTCGTCCCTAGGTATGTTTTAATTTTTTTTAACGGAACCACAATTCTTTTTGTACAATAAAAATAGCTTAAGTTACTCCATATAATATTAGCTATCAGCACATGTACAAGTCAAAACCATTCCAACCGTTTCGGAGATTAGCCGGAACAAACAGACAGACATACATTTTATAAGTTGTATTTTTCTTCTCTTCTCTGTTCTCTTCTCATAAGTACCGTATATCAAATTAAATCAAAATATTTTATTCAGCATTAAATTATTACAATTTTTTACTGAACGTCACGAGTCTACTACCAGTTCGGAAAGAAGAAGCCTCAGACCTGAGAAGAACTGGCGAAAGAAACTCAGCGGGACCAGTATTAAATTATCTTTTTTTTAAAGTAAGATTATAATTTACAATATGAAGTAGCCTGGAGGCGATCACTTAATTCCCAAGGTGTGCCATCTTCTATAAAATCATTTATTTATATAATTTCATATGCGTTTAGTAAAAAAGCTGTTATTTGATATTACGAACAGACACTTCAATATTATTTAACTGTATAGATAATAACTGTTCGAATCCCGCATTACTGGCGTTCAATTAAGCCTTACAATTAGAGCCATCCCTGAAACAGGTAGATCTTGTAATACAATTTCATGCTGAATTTCTAAAACATAGCAAAGATAATTCATTACTTCTTTTTATTATTCCTCGACGGCGAGCTGTGGTTGGAGTGGTTCGGGCTGTCGCTTAGTTCAGAGCTAGAACTTCTAATATCGCCATCCATCTGAAACAATTATTAAATTACTTGTATTCAGCTTATTTTAACGTCCCACTGCTGGGAGTGGGTCTCCCTTCAATACGAGGGGGATCGGGCTATAGTCCACCACGCTGGCCGAGTCCGGACGGACTACACGTGTCTTTATGGTAATCATATTGACAATGATTCGCACATGAAAATATAAGAGGTGCGTGACCCGGGATTTGAATCCGCTTCACTCGGTTTCCCAAGCGAGTGCACTACAACTGGGCTACCACTGCCTTATTAAAAAATACTTTAATATTAATACGATAAGAATGAGAGTAGACATAAACATACAATGCCACTGTGACATGCACTCTCAATTCATTTTACTCTTAAACTCCTGATGGAAAACAATTCAACACTTGCTGTCAGAGACACTGTCGTAACACTACCAGTCTCCCAATTTCGGACCGAAATAATAACACTTGGCCCAATCTGGGGCTCGAATCCAGGACCTCAGAATTTGCAGCTGTACATTCTAACTACTAAACCACCGAGGCAGTTAAGAATACATTATATGAATATTATAATATGTACAGATTGTAATATACCTGTCCAGCCTGTATAGCTTTATACGCGATTTGCAATATAAGGCAAGTCCACACAATATGCAGCACCAGCAGCAAACAGAGCAGGGAGTTGAAGATGTAGTATGCTGGAAACATTGGTACTATCATGGGCGCCCGGATCGATGTACTGTAAATATTTTCAAATGAATAGTCATTAATTAAAAATATTTTTACCAATTAGTATTATTAATAAAGTTAACCTTAATTCTTTTTCTAACATAATAGTAACCTTAATTACTCCTTATAACATCAGCAGTCTGCCAGTGAAAGTCCCGTCAAAATCGGTCCAGCCGTTTCGGACATTAGCCGGAACAAACACCCAAAACAACAAGCTTGTAAGACAAAGCCAGTTAATCCATATAAATAAAAGAAATATTACCTCCAAATTATATAAAACGGGTAAATCCCAACCCTGGTGGTGATCCACGTGATGATGAGTCCGAGGAACAGCGAATCGCATAGTTTCTGATATCTTGCATATTTCGCTGCCTTCACCGACTGTAATTTTTCAATTGAATTCTCTTGTTAAAGGCTTCAAAGCGTCTCAGTTGAGCACAGAGTACTTTGTCAAAGTCACAAAGAATGAAGAAGACACGTAGGAGATTGGTCGGTAAAATAAGATCATTAAAACTATATTACATTATAATGTGTAAAAAGAAAGTAAATCTCTAAATAAACCTTGGTTCTGTAATGTTTATCATCAAATAAGTCATGTTAACTGATGAAAGTATAAAATTAACACATTTTTTTAAAAAAAGCAAAGAGTTGGATAACCCAAATACACAATTCAGACCTCCTACTACTTTTCCATTCAATACTAAAATTTAAACTATGATAAAATAATAATATTTCTGCCCATTTAATGTATTACTACTGGGCATAAACCTGCCTTCAATACAGATCATGTTAAAAACTCGCACATGAAAACTTCAAAATATGACACCCACGAACTCCATAACATCCCTACTACGATGTACGAACATACCAACCAAACAACACAAAAGTACCAACCTCAACAAATATATCAGCACAGTCGTGCAGCAAGAGCACGAGGGTGCCGATGCGGTGCAGGTTGCAGACCCAGCTGAAGGAGAGCAGCGCGATGGTGGCGAGGTGGTGCACGAACATCTGCCAGAAGTCCTTACGCCGCACGTCCCAGAACTGCGACAGCGTCAGCGACCAGTAGAACGCCGCGCTGATCATGTAGTACCACCACACGTCTGATGTTAGACCCTGGAATCGAGAGGAAGAGTGGTTATAATAATATCTGCCGACTGATTTTGGTCATAGCGGTCAACCTCACTGAGACTAGCTTAGGAGCTGTTATATATAGTCAGCACGTGCACTCTCCATTGCTGTCACTCTCAAACTCCAGTGGTAGAACAATTCGACATGTCCGATGAGAAAAACCATAGACTTTACGGGATTTCCGTGCCACGAAAACACCGCCAACTCCAGGTTGTTACTGAAAACTTCTTAACAGAAAAACTCAATCAACTTCTCCCGACCCGGGAATCGAACCTAGGACCTCCAGATATGCCGACGTACATGCTACCTACTAGACCAACGAGGCATTCGCATTCACACTCGTAATATAGTAAAAATGAATGACCTATAAGGCGCTATTTTGAACGTGCCAAAGTATAAACAAACATTAGTATAACCTTTTTTATATACATACATATATGGCATTGGTCAATGTCGCGTTATATTATGCTAACTGCCTCGGTGGTGTAGTGGCTAGCATGTAGGTACGGCTGCACACTCGGAGGTTCTGGGTTCGAGTCCCGGGGTCGGGCCAAGTTTAGTTGAGTCTTTCTATATAGTAAGTCTCAGTAACAGCCCGGAGTTAGGAAGTTGGCGGTGTTTCACACCCGTGCCTCGGAGAGAATGTAAAGCCGTCGGTCCTGCGCCTTATTTCTCACCGTTCGTGTCGAGTAGTCGTCCCACCGGAGTATGAGAGTAACAGGAATAGAGAGTGCACTTGTGTCTGCGCGTACACTTGTGCACTATAATATCTCCTGCGCAGTTGGCTAGTCTCAACGAGATTGGCCGCCGTAGCCGGAATCGGCCAGGAGAACATCATCATATTATGTACAGCACTGCTAACAACGATAGATATTACAGATTCAATCCACGGAGAATGAAGACCCATCCTTACATTACAATGTTTATTTTCTTAGTTACGAATAAAACACGCGATTGGAATCCAATAAATTACTGTTTGTTTATCTCACTATTGAAACACAAAAATATTTCGTTTGGCCAAAAGCTGATTATAAACCAACTTTGTAATATTCTTTCAGTAGCTAATCCATACTAAACTAAAACTTTTAAACTGAAGAAGAATTTGTTTGTTAGAACGCGTTATTTTTGCGAACGCGCTTTGAAATTTTCCAATTTATATTGCCTATTTATTGAGGAAGTTTGTAGGTAATCATTTGCATTCCTTAGATACGCTACAATAATATACCTACATAAATACAAATATTAAAATTAAAAAAAAACTGACTTCAAAAAAAAACGTACTAAAAAAAAGTGAAAAATAAATGATTATTATAGACTAGAAGAACCCGCGGCTTCGCTCGCGCTAAAACTATAAAGAGAACTAATAAGATAGGTTTCATACAAACTTTCACCCCATATTTTACCCGATTATGGGATAAATTTCGAATAATGCTAAAACACGTATTTATTTAATTGTATTGAAGAGCATTAATACCAAGTTTCAAGTAATTCTGATCATAAATAATTTTTTGGGTTGTATTATGTGTTTTCCCGTGGGAATGAGATAATCTCCCGCGATAAAAAGTAGCCTATATGTTACTCTCCAGCCCTCCAACTATCTCCACACAAAAAAATCACGCCAACCCGTCACTCCGTTTCGACGTGAAAGAAGGACAAACAAACACAATTACTATTTATAATATTAAGTATGGATACCTAATCTGATATTTTCGAAGTCGGTGCCAGCCGACAATGCTTTAAGTTCAAAGTTTAAGATATGAATATCTAATAGGTAAATATGACAGGGTATTTAATTAAAGTTTAAATTAATATTAAACATTAATTTGTGCTAAGCAATTTATGTGAACTTTGCTTGGATTCGTATCGGCTGGATTAGGTATCTATAGTAAATGAAAACTACCAATCAGTTATTTTTTAATTTTTAGATATTTTTTTAAATCGATTTTTTTAAGTTTTTATTTTTCCATTTTTGGTGTAAACATTGTAGTAGCAAAGTGAAAATCAATCACCCCTATTTTCTAGACTTAGGAGTGGGTTTTTTTTCAAATTTAAATGGGACTAACTTCAATACCCTATCCAATAGAAAAAGAATAATCGAAATCGGACTACACTGTAAAAAGTTATGCGTGGTCAAAGATAAAAAAATATATTTACGTGTCGAATTGAGAACCTCCTCCTTTTTCGTCGGATAAAAAAGGGAAACTTAGTAGGTAATAGGCATTACATAAATATTCAAAGTAATTATTGTATTTTAATACGTTGGATAAGATATATAGCGGTGTTAATAATATAACATAGACTTAATAACATGTATATTGCTTGTAGAGGGGGCAAATGTCAAGACAAATGGAAAAGCTAGTAAAATATTTTCAATTCTTATGAATAATATTATAATACTCGTGTAAAACAAAGTCGTTGTCTGTTTCTGTCTGTTTCATTGCTCACTTCTCCTAAACTACGCAACAGATTTTGATACGGTTTTAACGAATAGAAAAAGCGACCAACGAATAAGTTCTGTGTGTATAATTTGTAAATATTTTGTACAAAATGGCTGAGACTAGAAAAATAAAATGTTTTCGTACGATTAGATGGCTAACACTGGCTAAACCTTTATAGATACATCAAAATAATGGAGTACGCGATAGCATGTGTCTATCTCCTAACAAAATAACTATTTTTATCTATATGAAACGAACCTACGCAGCACCCGGGCGAAGAGGGTCGCTAATTAATAAATAAAAATGAAAATTCTTTTCGCTGGTAAGCAAATCACTTGAAAAAGACTGGACCGATTTGGTATTTTTTTTTACTGTCCAATGATCGATCATATTGGGATTCCGAATAAGATTTTCAGGGAAAGAATTTTAAAAAGCTGCCCGGAAAACTGGAAAATTCTGGAAAAACTTAATTATTTTTTAATAGGGTTTTGTATGAATACAAAGATTTTATTATTTACTAGTGATTTACCCTCCCTTCACTCGGGTTCGTCCCTAAGCACGTTTTATTGGTTAGTATAGAATGGATAGACTATAAATATAAATTAATTTTAACCGCAACAAAAAAGAAAGGTAAAAAAAAAAAATTACCCATTTAAAAAAAACTCTAAAAATTTTTCGAGCTGATATAAAAGAGAACTCTTAAAACATGAAAAACAAACATACCTTCATACGAGACGCGGAAAAATAGTCGGCTTTATTGCCACCCTAAGTTGTATAGGTACACAATACATATTGTAGGTACAATATTATCGATGAAAGGTTCAAAGTATTACTCACAGCGGTCATAAGCCTTGCAGATATGAGTAATATGTATATTTATATCTTGTAAATATCAATAGATTTATGAGAGAGCGAAATAATGTTAACGAAACAATTGTATGGTTAATCCGTGTTAATATTATAAATGTGAAAGTTTGTGAGTATGGAGGTTTGTTACTTTTTCACGCCTGAACGGATCTTGATGATGTACAGTTCCCGTGGGATAGGTTTTGTTTTTTCCTAGAGGCAAACCAGAGCGAAGCGAGGGCGAGCCGCTAGTTAGTAAAAAAGAATTATCATTATATATTATATTCAAATGTACCTTGACACAGATTTGAGACAAAAACAATATACCTACCGTTACAGCCATATTTTTTCTTCGATTATAATCTACTAAAAACATCCTGAAAAAAATGACCTTAGCTACACAATAGTAATTTTAAGCAGATTTCTTTTATATATCTCGATACAACTTTTCCCCCAAATAGCTTAGTTTGCTTTAAACGTATTATTTTCTCTATAGGTACTATACATATAGTAATACTAAGTAATAATTAATTCAGCCCGTTTGATATCCCACTGCTGGGCAAACATCCCCTCAATATGAACGAAATTACGTGGAGGAAATAGTCCACCATACTGGCTCACTGCCCATTGGCAGATTTTACATGTCTTACAAAAGCTTAATCCTTACAGATATGCAAGTTTCTTCATAATCAAAATGATTCGCGCATAACATCGTGTGGTCGTTACCATTGCTCTACTGCTTATGTACATATTATGAAAACAATATATTAAAATAATGTCAACAGACTTAAAAGCTAATAACTGCTAAGTCATGCACATCGATCTATCAAACTTCACCGAAATTTATAAATTCAATAATTTAAATGTAAATAGGTGACAAACACACAGGCATTTCACATTTATAACATTAGTATTTCATGCTACAAATAATTTGGAACCATACCTGATGAGGATATCCAACATAACACTGATCAATATCCCACAGCCAGTCCTTATCCCACAATATGTAGAGTCCGAACAAGAAATTGCAGACGTAGAATGAGAATTTGAAGGCATTTTCGCAAAACTTGACTAGTGTTGAGGGCTTGTCCTGACACCTTCGCAGCCTCAACCATCGCTCCACTTGACGCTCCGACATATCCAACTGTTTTGCTAGGGCGCATAATTGCTGAAAAATAATCATAACACCTTAGATATATGCGAATATTTGACATCTATTCATATAATAAAATTGTAACTAAGCCGAATCTGTACATTAGATATTTTTTTGAAAATCTTATTGAAATAAAGATTATTATCGATACAGAGGCCGTATCTATAGTTTTTAGAATTTTTGTCTATCTTTCTGTCTGTTACCGCATCACAAAAAAAACCACTGGAGGGACTTTGATGAAACTTGGTATGGTGATAGCTGGTTATCCGGGTCATCATGTAGGATACTTTTTACCGTGGAAATATGTCTCATTTCTGAGAAAAAATACAAAAACCGCAATGTAAAAGTATACGAATATGTAAAACCTAAGAATTTGATTTTTTGGTCAACTGAACGCGGGCGGAGCCGCGGGCAATGCTAGTTTAATATAAGACTATACCCTCTTCTTTTCGGATTTCCAATCATTTTGAAAAGACACAACACACATTGTTTATATGATACATATAAAAAAAATCGTATTCAACCCTTTTTGTAACGTCCCACTGGGCACGGACCGCCCTTTACTATAAAGGGGATCAGGCCATAGTCCACCAAGCAAGTGCGGGTTGGCGGACTTTCCACGTCTTTCGGAAACACGCTACATTCTCTCAGACATGCAGGTTTCTTCACGATATTTTCATTCACCGTAAGACAAGTGATAATCATGTTGGAAATGATACGCACATGAAAATATCAGAGTTGCGAGACCCGGTCTTTGAAGCGTTTCTCAGGAAACACAAACATCAAAACAAAGATAGATAGGTACTAGAATTAATAAACTTATTTCGAGTTTGATTATAGTAGGTATGTGGCTTCATATAATCAACTTAAAGTGATTACTTCTACTTCCTTGATATAAAAATATATTTTTACTGCAAACAGAAGACATTCGGTTGCTGCTTGATTATTGTACAGTGTTAGTGGTACATTAATGACATTTAATAAGTATGGTAATAACTTAATCTATACATATAATAAAGTTGTAACTAAGCCGAATCTGCACATTCAATATTTTTTGAAAAATCTTATTGAAATAAACATTACTATCGATACAGAGGCCGAATCTATAGTTTTTAGAATTTTTGTCTGTCTGTCTGTGTGTTACCGCATCACGGAAAAACCACTGGAGGGATTTTGAGGTATGGTGACAGCTGGTTATCCGGGTCAACATATAGGATACTTTTTACTGCGGGAAAATATCTCATTTCTGAGAAAAAATACAAAAACTGCATTGTAAGATTATACTAAAATGTAAAACCTAAGAATTTGCTTTTTGACATCTGAACGCGGGCGGAGCCGCGAGCAATGCTAGTAATATATATTCAGTTATTATTATGTGTATATAGGAAAAATTTTTTATCATCACAAAGCATTTAAGAAAAGGAAAAATTAATATACGGGTTATACGAAGAAATATATATCTGTCTGATAATTCCATCAACTAAACAATAGGTATTACCTACTAACATATGTAGTTCCGAGGTAAATATAAAATTATACATTGTCATTGACTTTGTTATGAAAATTGCTACAATTTATCTATACTAATATTATAAATGTGAAAGTTAGTGAGTATGGATGGTTGGTACTCTTTTACGCTAGAACGGCTGAATGGATTTTTAAGAGGTTTGGCACAAAGATAGATTATAGTCTGGAATAACACATAGGATAATTTTTATCCCGGAAAAATGTACGGTTCCCGTGGGATAAGTTTGTTTTTGTTTTCCTAGAGGCGAACCCGAGCGAAGCGAGGGTGAGCCGCTATTAATATCATAATACTACAATATTCCATTTGTTATGGTACTTTTGTAATCATCATATTAGTAATTTAAACATTTAGAAATACTTTTAGAACATTCACATAAAATTAAGGTACTTTAGATATATTTTATTAAGCCAAAATCATAGCCTAGACATTAGTTGCTAAACATGAGTAAAACAAATAACAATTTTCGTGTATGTGGTCTTTACTGTTAATATGCTAAAAATTATACCTTAGTAGTGACCCTTGAGTTATATTCCTTAGTAAAATCAAAATATATGTGGCTTTTCGATACTTAAATAAGGTCAAGTCTAAAGTCTAAGGACCGAGCGTGTATGAAGAAAATGATAACGATGCAATGGAAGAAGCGAAACAGGTATGTAGAGATCGTAGCGCTTGGCATCTGTACTCCCTCCCTCTCGCAAGAGATGTAGCCTGAAGTTCCCCCCCAACGTGCGTTCACCTTATCGTGGTGAGGGGGCTCAGTAGTACCCGGCAATCCATCTGGGCGCGAAGCCAAGAAACGCACAGGGAGGTAGCCCACTTCGGTGGGCGGTGGGAGGCGGCCCTCTTCGGTGGGCGGAGTACCATGCGGGTTGCTCTTGGTACTTCTCTGATAGCAGAGTGGACCTTGGAGCAACCCCATGGTTGTTGTGGTCTGTTTCGGCAGACCTGCCGTCGGGGCGTCGTAGTTGAATGCGCAAGCGATCCTGCGACGCCCCATTAAGACGGGAGAAGGTTTTGTTGGGTTTTAGTGGGTAGTACTGGCTTTGCCGGTGAGTCCCACACCTCGTGCGTAAATGTATTTCCCAATGTTAAAAAATGCCTGAAGTTATGTATGTAAGTATATTATATGTTTAGTTTTGAATAATGTAGTTTTCAATAATGAAAGAAATTGGTTAAGCATTTTCGGAATACATCGATGCCAAACAAACAGACAACTCTACCTTTTTATAATATTAGTACGGATAATTATAAACTTCATACGGATATTATTTTTTGAAGAGCATGCAGAATAGCTTAAAGACAATCGAATAAAGGAAAAATATGTCAACTATAGGTACAGATAAATAAAATTGAAGTATTTATTTGTAATGTCAAAATAACAGCTTTTTACTAAAGTATATAGGGTACATAATATAAGAAATATACTTTTTTTTGTGTCTGTCTGTTTGTTCCGGCTAATCTCCGTAACGGCTGGACCGATTTTGTCGGGACTTTCACTAGCAGATACCTGATGTAATGAGTAACTTAGTTACTTTATTTTCGAAAAAGAATTAGGATTCCGTTCAAAAAAAAGAAATCTTACTTAAGGACGCACACGAACGAAGCGAGGTAAGTCGCTAGTACAACGTAAATGTTAACGTGTGTTTGTTAGTTTATCCTTCTTAAATACAATTTCTAGACCATAAGATACTTACTATCGTGATACATCAAATGTTTTTTATGAAATATTAACATTATTAATATGTTAAAAAGTCAATTAATGATAATAATATTAAAAATATGAACCGAGGCTATAGCTTCTTCTATATAAATAAATATTAAATATCCAAAATATCCTACTGATGAGTAGGTTTCTTAATATTCATTTGAACAAAAACCAAGTGTTCAAGGCAAATTTTGCATACAATTGTTAGATTATTCAGTTAAAACCGTCAATTCACACAAATTCTATACGACACTAACTTAAGCAAGAGCGATAGTTAATTATAGTTATATCTATTTGACAAATTGAGGAAGGCCATATTATATACATTTTCAGAGTTTACCATTCATGCTGTGACCTCATACCAACACTTAATTGTTACGCAACGGCTTCTGTTACGCGAAAATACATATTTTTATTACTAACACTACCCGCAGCTCCGCCCGTGTTCAGATGACCAAAAACCAAATTCTTAAGTTTTACATGTTAGTATACTCTTACATTGCAGTTTTTGTATTTTTTCTCAGAAATGAGATATTTTCCCGCGGTAAAAAGTATCCTATATGTTGACCCGGATAACCAGCTATCACCACATCAAATTTCATCAAAATCTCTCCAGTAGTTTTTCTGTGATGCGGTAACAGACAAACAGGCAGACAGACAAAAATTCTAAAAACTATAGATTCGGCCTCTGTATCAATAATAATGTTTATTTCAATAAGATTTTCCAAAAAATATTTAATGTACAGATTCGACTTAATTAGAACTTTATTATATGTATAGATTACTAAGCTAATCTACTAGACTTCTATAACTGCAAATAGTTATTATAGAGTGTATTCAAGGCCCCAGCAAATCGACAGCGTATTCACTAGTTTTTTTTTATACATATATCCTGAGTCCTAAACACTAAACCGTCTTTAATTTTAACTACTTACTCAATAAAGTCTAATTAAATGATTTTGTTAACCATAATTCACTGCCCATTAAATAATTTACATTCCCACAGGACTAGCTCGATAGAACGGGATAACAATATTTAGTTACCCTTAATTGTATATAATTGAAATTATGAGAGAGATATTATGTTTCAAAATAGTTCATTTCATCAGTCAAAGAGTCGTTTTTACAAATAGTAATTTACTTTGAACGAAGATGACTTTTTCCATCAAGTCACGTATGGACTATAATTTCGGGCTATCGGTACCAAGACATTACATGAAAATATAATGTCTTGGAAAATAAGATAAGTAGGTAGGTACTTTATATATAACGTCTAAGGTATTTGTAATACGTTTCGAATACATTTATATTGTGAGCGTGCACGTCCGTGAAATTGTATACCTTGGGGATCCACCTTTAACGTAGACCAGCGACTATACATATTATAATAGTTTTTTTTTAAAAAAGGTAATATTTAAAAAAAATGATTCTATAATGCATCAAAATATTGAATAAAATCACTTTACAAAATAATTTGAAAAAAATTATTTACATATGTATTACATAACTTAAACATACTATCTTCGTAGATAATTCGTTGACTGATGTCGAGTGAGAAATAATACCTACAGGTATGTACTTACCAAATAAAAAAATAATAGGATTTTAAGTAACTAGCGGCTCACCTTCGCTTCGCTCGGGTTCACCTCTAGAAAAACAGAAACAAATCTATCCCATGGAAACTGTACATTTTACCGGGATAAAAAGTAGCCTATGTGCTATTTCAGACTATAATCTATCTCTGTGCCATTTTTCATTCAGATTGAGTAACAAACATCCAAA